GTTCATTTATAAACTTTTATTAAATGAGTGCAAAATTTTTATGCTAAACTTTTCTACAAGGATTAGGTCAATTTTTGCTTTTACTTTTTACATAAATCCAATGCGACAAAAATAATGAAATCGCTATCGATATATCAAGAGAAAATTCTTAAATATAAAACTAAATTTTCATATCTACTAATAACTGAGTATTTTTAAACTAACGGAGAGAGAGAGAGAGAGAGAGAGAGAGAGAGAGAGAGACATATGATTTTAACACAAATAATAACTTGTGTGCAAAACAAATTAAAAATATCTTTTTATTGAGTGCAGGGACAATCGAGTATAGTAAAATGTTGTTCGTTTCATCGAAACTGCCTTCCCACTTACAAATCTTGAAAATTAATTATGTCTCTAACGTATCGACAACTTTCTATGAATTGCGTAAGGGACGTGAAGTCTTGTCTCATATATGTACGTATAAATATCGCCTACTTATATCTTTCTTATATTCTATAAATTTCGTTTATATATCTCAACAGTTGATATGAATTTGTTGCCATAAGTTTGGATTAAATGTATGGTCGATATGAATTGTTTATACTTATAAATATTAGGAAATACTGATCAATATATTTATAATAAATATATGTAAAAAAAGAAATCAAGTGACATAAAAATATATGAAATTTACTATAGTAATAAATTTTATAAAATAAAAGAAAATACTTTATTATCTCCTGCTATCAAATTAATGTGATAAGAAACAAATTAATTTTAAATATTTTAAAATGTAGAAACGAAGGTGTGGAATATTTGCTATATTTTCATTTTACATGCCTTGAATTTAACAACAATTTAAGAGATTTAAAAAGTATTAAAAGTAGTTTATTATTACGTTAATTGACTAAAAAACAAAAAAAAATAAAAAAAAAAAAATATGGAAAAATACGTGTCTTTTTAGATTATTTAATCATATTTAATCAAATACTTGTTGCATTTATTGATAATACTGTCGAGGATTCATGTTTTTATAGCAATTGACTTTTTCATTTTCATTATTATTCACGTTTGAGTAATTAAATTTTGATTATTGATACAAAGAATCACAAAGTGATATATAACAAGAAATACCAAAAATTAATTTTATTATTCTATTTATCAAATCTTATTCTATTTAATTGTAAAATGACATATTGTGTTAAATTTAGCGAAAATTGAATGTTTTCGTTAGAATATTCGTTGAATTAAACAAAATTGAATAAAAATTGAGGAAAATTGAAAATAAATTGAATAACAAAAATAATGAAATATGATGCGTTAGAAAATTGTTATCTAATTGGAATAGTTTAGTTTCTTTAATAATTATAAATTAAAAATTGATTTTATTTTACATCTTGAACTAAATTCAGAGAATATTTAATTTATGCATTATCAATTTACGTCTTTAATAGAACATGTAATAATAAATTGTGATAGTTTATTTCTAAATAAGCAACAAAAATCAAGTAAAAATGATCCAAGGTAATTTTTAAAATTGCCTTTAGCTTTTTCCTATTCATTTGTTTGTTTTACCTTGGATCATAAAACTCTTAACTAGAATGAATTATTATTATTATATTTAAAAAGAAAATTTTGAATGTAAACCAAATGATTTATTTGTAATGTTGTTTTTTGAAAATTACAACTTATTAATGCATTAAATAAGAATAGTCATATTCTGACTTAGATTTATTAAATGAGATATAATATATAAATAAGTTATAATATTCTTTGAAGTGAAACTTATTTATATCTAAGTCATAAAATATTTATCTACTAAACCAAGATAAAATTCGTAATAATTATAAAAATAAATCGGAATACTACAATGTTTATGTATGTGTTTAAACACTCGAATCAATTTTCGATTAATTATTTACATATTTATATTATAATTATCAGTATTGTATATATTTCATTTATATTATTTGTCTTTACGTTATAATTATTAAAAATAGTTATATCTTTGAAAGTTACTAAAATAATTACAATCTGGTGGTTTGGTATATCATTGCATGTCGTAAACAATTTGTTAAGCTTAAATCACATATTAATAGCATAATCAAAAATTAATGGTTTTACTTTCTTTTTCTTTTCTTTTCTTTTCTTTTTTTTTCTTTTTATTTTTTTTTTCTTTTGCAAAATCATTCAAAGTTTAACATAGTAAAAATACAACTCGTTTTGCAAGTATATATTCTTTAAGATTATTAAACACTTTGAATAAAGTCGATTAAAATTTTAATATTTAATTTGACCTTTTTTTATAATTTTGATTAGTCATATTTTAAGGAATTATTTTCTGAATTTGTTCATATGTGATCAAGGTCATTGCGTAAATTACTTTATTTACAATGAGATAATAGAGTAATTTAATTTAGTGACAGATATTCATTTTTTTCATTAATGTTCTAATATTTCCTTCTAATAAAAATCTTATTTTATAAAATACACATTGGCATTTATTTATTTATTTGTTTATGTACAATGATCGTATTTAATATATTAGCGATTTAATAATGACTATATCAAAAACAGTTCATTTTCTTAAAAACGGCTCGATCTAATAATTCATATATATTTTTTTAATTTTTTTCTTTTCTTTATATATATATTTTTATACCGTAATTTGTTAATTAAAAAATGTTAAATAATAACTCTTTATTTCAGTGTAGCAACGAAAGCCTTATATTATCTTCAGCTTTTTATGTTTCTTTACATTATAAATATAATTTTCGTCGTATGCACTATCATCAAGCTTTCGGCATTTTATCGTGAAAGTTAAAAATAAACTGTTACACTTTGAATTTCTTATTTTTATCATACATCGAAACATTTTATGACATAAAGAAACAATTTTTCGTATTTTTTTTTTTTTTTTTTTTTTTTTTTACAGCAATTTTTTTTTTAACCGTAGTTTTGTTTACTTGAAAGAGTATTATTTTTATAACGATAATATAACATTGTTCGTAATAATGTATGCGCACAAATTTTTTTTTAAACTAATTTTCAACGGTGGTGATTTTATTTTGTTTCTCTGCAATTATATAACTGACTTTGATATAATCTATATTATCTATAACTCGCACAATGAAAATGAACTCCGCGATTCAAGAACGATTGACTCGAAGTCACTACGACTTACTCGAGCTTTACAGGCAAATCTCATAGAAATTTATAAAAATCGCCGTGATCATGTCGCTTGTAAGCATGATTCGCGAAACCTTGGGCAGTCGGATGCATGCGTTGGCAATTTAAATGCAATGTAAATGCATTGCTATAGGAAAGAAGGAAGCCATCGATAGATAATGCGACCGAGGTTTCTGTGCGTTGAAAAACGTACGCAACGCATCCGCTCGACTCTCCATTTCCAAAGTCCGAAATATAACGGCTCGACTATGCGGGCCCCGCAAAGATTCATGAAAACGAGGCCGCATGCAGAATCCTATCTACCCGCGAGCTCAGCCAATGTCAAGCTATCGTAAGTGTAAAGGTACGCGGGAGTGTGTAGACAAACACATTTGCTCACTCGCAAGGTGCGGCTCCTTCGCTTGCGCGAGCTCCGCACAGCCCAATAACCCGAATGTAACCGGACACACGCAAACCGAGTGAGCGGTCTCTTGGGTTGAGTGATAAAGATAGACGGGGAAGGTGTGGAGGTGGCGAGGAGGTGCAGGCCCGATGCCTCAATGTTGGGAAAAGTGAAAAATGTAATGCAACGCAACACGTGCTGCCACGGTGATTTCTTATCGCCTACGACAATTCGGTTGGGCTACTTCAAGGATCGCCCGACCATTGTTCCTCTTTAACGATTTAAAGAGCTTTCCAAGTAGCTTTTCGAAAGTGTACGACGGTACTTTATAAGGAGTTGCTCGGCGCGAGCCCTAAGATTTGTTTGATAAATGGAGGGGAAAAGTGAAAGCTGCCGCACACCATGAATTATTACATCCTGAATTATTACGTTCCATCATTATTCTAAGCATCTTTACTCGTCTAGTTAACTACATTTGAAGATGTGATTTCGTTAAAGAAAAATAATAATGATAATTATAATAATTGAATAAATAAAACAATGTAACAAACAAAAACAAAAAATAAAATAAAATTCGGACATAGAACTTTGCAATGCTTGGCCGCGCTGTTTGTCGGTAAGATCGGATGTTTGTCATAGACTCTTCTCGCGATAAATCATTTTAGATGATTTGTAAAGCGAATTACCATCATTAAATGTTTCACCTGAGAAGCCCTCGCTTTATAATTTAAGTAAGACCGAATTATAAATAATTTTAGTGGAAGAGTTGAACGAAGGTAAGACGAGAGGAGCTTCCGATGCATACACAAGAATACAAGTGTTCTTTGTATGGCAAAAGGGCCGAACGAGACGGCGATGCGCGATTCGAGCAACTGGAAACAAAAACGAAGCTAAATTAGAAAAGGGAGACGAAGCAGACGAAGCATACGAAGCATACGAAGCATACGAAGCATACGAAGCATACGAAGCATACGAAGCATACGAAGCATACGAAGCATACGAAGCATACATACGAAGATACGAAGCATACGAAGCATACGAAGCATACGAAGCATACGAAGGAGACGAAGCAGACGAAGCCGACGAAGTAAAGGAAGTAGATGAAGCAGAAGATGTCGAAGATGTAGAAGAAACAAGTAGAGGAGGAGGCGGAGAAGGAGGAGTAGGAGGAGTAGGAGGAGGTGGGAGGGGAGGGGAGGGGGGGGTGGGTGGGGGTGTTGCTCGTTTCTCGCTTGTGCGAAAACACGCGAAACATATGAAAAAGAAAGTCGACGAAAGAGGAGGGGTCAGGAGAGGCGAAGGGATCCGTTCGTGGTGGATAACGCGGCCGCGGACACGGCGATCGACGATCTCCAGTGGAGAGAAAGAGCTAGAGAGGAAGGCGCGCGAGGAGGAGGTGGAGGGATTGAGAGGAGTTGTATGATGATGGGGAGGGGAAGGGGGAGGAGGTGAGCGTGGTAGAGAAGCACGAGGGTCGTGGGGGAGGTGGAGTAGGACGAAGGGAGCTGTCGCTCTCGGCCTGTCGTGCCAGATTCAAGTTTATTGACACGGATCTCGGTCCGTCCGGCTGTGCCGCGGCCTGGAAAGGCGGCGCGAGAGACACACGTAGTCACCTCCCGTTCTTCCTTCCATGTTCGCCTGCGTCTCTTTCCACGGCCGTACCTGTGCTCGCCATCTCGCTCTGTCGCGCAGGTGTTTTGTTCTCCTTGTCTCGCTGTGCGCCTCTTAAACGCGATTTTTCATGCGTGCGCGCGCCTTCGTGTGGCAATGAGCGAGACAGTCGGCAATATGCGACCAGCGCTCGCTCTCGCATTTTACTTTATACAACAGCGAATGAATCGGTAGATTCTTTGTTTTGCTATCTTGAATTGCTCTATGCATTGATTTATTTCGTATGTGCATATCCTTGCACCGCTTCAAAATTCAATACCGCGCGAATGCGTCGCACGTATAGATGTTTCTTCTTTAGGCTTCGAGTACGTCATTGCGACTGCTATTGTCGCATGGACCAATTGAATATGATACTTCATCTCTTATACTTGGAAATTTTATCCACTTCTTCGATCGTGAATTGTAAAACTGTTGATATGGCATTGAGCATGTGGCACTTACCCGCAGCATCGTCGCTCGTTAAATAATTAATGAAAACGTTTTTTAAGTACTCCAGATTAGCACCTTCCCGCGATTTGGAAGCTTCCAATCTGTAATAAATGTTAGCATTTTCATATATATATATATATATATATATATATATATATATTTGTTTTTATTTTTCGGAAATAATTTCATACATACCTTTTTATTTGAGTTGTTAATTTTTTAATTTCCTCCTCGTGTTTTTCCGCCGTGTGAAATGAATTTCTCTCTAAATCACGAAGCGCTATTTCCATTTGCACCGTCTGCTTTCGTAAGCTGGAAACTTGAACTTCCTTCCTAGCTAATTCCTGAGTGTAATGAATCATTGGAGGATTATTATCAGTGGTTAAAAGACCGGAGACCAAATCAGTTACTTCGGTTTTTATGTGCCTCATTGGCAAATGAAATTTTTGGTTGACCGTATCTAACGCATTCTTTTTAGGTAGTAATGCATCGAAAGACGATTTAAGTATTCGTATCTCTTTATCCTTTTCCTGTATTACAATTAGCGAACGTTCGCGTTGTTTGAGAAGTTGCTGTTCTAAATTGTCTATCTTATTCTTAAGTTCGATATCTTTTTTTACCAATAAGCTCTCGGTCTTTGCAAACTGCTCTTGCATTTGCTGCTGCTCTTTTTCCAATCTCACTTTAAAATCTCTTTCTTTCTCTGATAATTCGGCAACTAGCATACGTAATTTCTCTTCTAAATTTTTATTATGAGATTTTGCTCTGTGCAGTTGCATTTCATCGTTTGAAATGCCGTTTTCGTGATTTTGATATCGTACTTCGTTCGCAGCAAAGCGTTCCTTATATTCTTCAAATTCTTTAATCACAGTCTCGTATTTTTCTTTATAACTAAAAGCTTCACTATTATCACAGAGTTTCAGACTATTCAGCAAATCTAGAAAGCAGTAGGATTGTAAGCATAAAAATTTTGTAAATTTTAAACATGACTATTGCTAGTTTGCATCCTAAATAGTAAATATTTAATAAATTTGTAAACTAAACTAACGATAAGATATTCAAAAATTAAATTTCCATTGAATATTGAAATTTTAAGATTTTCTTAGTTCACGTTAGACAATTGGAATATACTAGCGATACTTGGCATTAGAACTTTACAAATTAGCAATTTATTACATTGTAAAGATGAACAAACCATTATTTAAAAAAACTTTATGAAAAATCTCGAGTATAAGCTATTGTACAAGACTCTACATTAAATGTATTAAATACTTTAGAAAAACCTATTCAATATGTAATAATTTAGAATAATTACCTTTAACGTTGGAACATGAACTGCCTTTATCTAATTCAACAAGTTCAAAATAAAAGCTTTTAATTTTCTCTGCCAGTTCGTGTGAAGTTTGATCGGTGCTTTGCTTATTATTATTTTGTAATACAATTAATTGATCTTTTAATTTATAAATAGTCTTTTGATCCTCTTGACGAAGTCTGTCGTAACCACCGACAATATCCGACAATTCTGCTAATCGACCTTCTAAACCAGCAACTCTCGATTCATGACTCGCAGACAACGATCTCATTTCTTGTTCCGCAGCTGTAAGTTTTTTCTGTTCCTGTCAGACGTTTATTATTATTTCGTTTCTCAAAATTAATAGTGACATAATAATCCTACCTCTAGAATCGCAGCCTTATGCCTCTTTTTCATCGTGGACATTTCCGATTGAAGCTTCAATAGCGTTGTAGGTGCTTCGTTGACGGCTGCTTCCGCTTGCTTTAATTTATTCTTCACCACGTCAAGCTCCGCCTCTAATATTCTATTTTGGGACTTGCTAGGCATCAAAAACTTTAATTCCTTCAATTGCACTTCTAATTGATCTCTTACTCTTTGCTCGTTATGAATCTTTTTATGTAATTCTCTATAAATATGTTGTTTTGTAGAATATATTTACATGTAAATTAATAATAATTTAATAGAATTGGAATATTACTTAATCGACGCGGCGTGTTCACTTTGTTCCTTCTCTCTCTCATGCCGCTCCATAATTAATTTATATTTCAGATGTTCGACTTCCGACGTAGCATGACCTTGAATACGCTTTAGCTTTTCTTTCAAATTCTTTGTTACTCTTTCGTGCTGCAAAATTATTTTATCCCATTATCGTACATTACAAATATACCATTAGGAATAATTAATAGTCTTTATGCTGTAACACCTCTTCGCGTTCGCTTCGAATTTGCTTCTTTTCGGTCTGAAAATTTGCCTCCATCCTTGACTTTTCAGTCGATAACACCGCCAAGGAATTCATTAGAGTTTCAAGTTGATTTTTCAGCCCTTGAACAGTGTCCTCTGAATTTGTTTTATCCAACATATTTGAGGACTGCATCTGTTAAAAACGCTTCCGTTACAATATTGTTCTTATATTGCTATTTCAAAATATACATGAATTAACGCACCTTTGGCTCTTTCTCTTGTATACCTGCCGATTGCTCGTCCACTTTCAAATCTGCAATTACAGCAATTTGATAACGTTAGTATTCTTTTTAAGTTCCCGGGTAAAACCAATATACCACCAGCATACGTACCATGAAGCTCGTTTTGCAAGTCTCGCTGATTCGACCGCGTTTCATTTTGCATATTTGCATTTTTTACCATTTTGAAAGACATTATTATCCTTTATCTACTACATCTAGTCGCGATGAAGAGATGTGACAATTACAGACGCATTTTTACCGAGTAAAGCGATATTCTAAGAACACGTCATTGAACCGACGTGTAAACCACGGAGAGACATGTTGTTGATCTTTTCTAACCACAAAATAGATATAAATTTACAAGCAGACAATACTTCCAACTGGCTTTGACTAGCGGAACGTTATCATGTTGAAAATACTGTTAGTCTGGCGAGGGGTTGGCGAGGGGGACGATGGCTGGCAGGTCCGTGGATGGAGCGGTGAGGGGACGATGAGGAGAAGAGGGCGGAGGAGGAGGAGGAGGAGGAGGGGGTGCGAGAGAACAGAGTGTTCATAGTTAGCGTTTAAAGTCCAATTTTTGTAATCCACCTACCGTCCATACTAGCGCTGTATGGCATTGTAGAAACGCATACTTATCCATTTCATGGGCCTTTTTGATAGAATTAGGCTATTAAAATTGAGAATAGAAGTTTTTATGCGATGAAAAAAATAGTTAGGGATTTTGCTTTGAAATTGCTTGGCCAATCAATGC